TGTAAATATCTTGAGAGCAATGTAATTACATTTTATCACGAAGACAGACTCTCCCAACTATTTTAGAAGAATCAAATTTATTCAATTCCCATAAAAAACCAATAAAATTCGCAAATCTACCATTGATTTATACCCACTAATTGTGTCTGAGCGAAAATTTATTGAACAGCAATTAGCAGGAAATAAATATCTATAAAGCCATTGATAAAGATTAACTTGTGGGGAAACCCTCGGCAAATGGCAACTGGGATTGCGCGATAATCAAAGCATAGAATTGGTTTTTGAGGTTTGCAGAGGACTCAGCTGGAAGGCAGTTAGTTTTTAGCCAGTTCTCTTGACTGTTCTTGACGGTGATGGAAGCCGTATGTATGGAATGACAGTCGAACATCAAAGACGCTCGCTGACTGACTGGCTGGCTGGCTGGCTGCTCTTCAGCTAAGTGCGAATGCAACTGGGATGATGATGATGATGATGGCTGCTAGAGTTGGCAATGAAAAACCAATGTCTGCGGTTTTTGCCATATTTGATTGACTGCTTGACTAACTCTCCCGACGAACATTGCACCCGTGTGTTTTATTTTTAGTTGAATTTATTTTTTAGTTTGTAGTTTTGGGGACGAACGCGTGCGCGTTACGCTTTCGGTCAAGCAAATCGGAATAATCGTTACAGAGTCAACTATATATATGTTCGTTGTCATGATGAATAAATGCATAAAAAGCGAGACGAGTTAGTTGTACATTCGCCAAACAATTTGCATAAGAGGCACCGACAAAAACGAAACGAAAAAAAAACTACTTCAATATCCGTTGATCGCAGCATCGCGGAGCGAGCAATTGTATCTGCCAGATACATCTACATTTGTATTTATGCCCCCGTTGGCGACCGTATTTTGTGGCATCTACATATTCCACGGCTGTATTTGGTTTCCATTTACGAGGTTGTTGTCGCTGCCAGTGCCCCCATGCCTGGCCACAATATCTCCAGTGTTATTATTACTCCCCCTGCAGTCAATATGGAAATCAAATGCTGACATATAGCGGCAAGCCGATGGGTTATTGCTCGACAAACAGTCTGAGACTTGGCTTTATTATGAAATTGTACGATTTCCCACAGATCCTTTGATAAATATTGCATTTTAAGTTTATGAAATAACTTAAAGAGTAAATAAATTGTGGAATTTATTGCTCTAATACCTCAAAAAGTTTAGATTTCATTTGAATTTATTTAGCATAGAATTCATTTTAAGTTTTTCTCATAGTTTTATGGAATATCTAAACGCAGATTTACCATCCTGCTGCTGCTCCCTCGTGCATTTCTTTACCAGCTCATAATACTTTGGCATTAAATATGAAAAATCAATTTCAGATGCTGGGCTTTGGCATAAAAACCGCAAAACACTCGGCCAGACCACAGATACAAGACCTTACACATTCACGTGTCATAAAGTCTGAAAGAGCAGCAAACGCGCGCGGCAGAATGAATATAATACAAGCTTATGCATTGCACCCCTGGACTCATAGCAGTTTCATTGTTAGTCGAGGAACATTGCATATAAACAGAAAAAGCATAAATACACTCGAACAAACGTTATTGAAATTATGGTGATAAAAAATATACGATCAAGGATGTTGTCCTATGAAAATGGTTAACTTAAATGAAATCCATGAATATTTAAATGGTTATTACAAGTGGAAAGTAGAATAAAGATATTTTTCTAATAGGAAAATAGGTTTATTCCGTTGTAACTTTCTGGAGATATTGAAAGTATTTCTAACACATCTTAGAATAAACATCAAAGGATTGGAAATTGTTGAGTTATTCCCGTTTGAGAGAAAAAAACGTCCAGCTTGGTTGAGTAGATGCAAAAGGAATGAACTTTATTCGATACTTCTAATGACTGCAGAGCTTACTATCGATACAAATTATACGCTAGAGATTACAGTGCTACGATAGTTTCAATAAAAATAATTATAAACCACAAAATATCAAAAATATTTATCTCATTTGGCAGCTAAAACCATTTTATATTCTTCAGTTTTTGATAAATGAATTTCATTTTTTGACCAAGTTCATATTTGACTTAATTTTTTCATTAAATATTATTTGGTTTTTTTAAAGAAATAATTTTCGGTTCATGGGTATTTTCAGTTCTTAAATTAAAAAGAAAGTGTTTTTCTCAGTGCCTATGCATATGCATTGGCCAGAGGGCAAGTCAAGGACCGTTTGAGGAGGAAATGAGGAGGGGGCGTTGCTAGGAGTCTACGAGAAGCAGTGGTGCAATGTGCGGTCATGTGGCCCAGCCTGAATCCCTCACGAACCACCCTCTTTTTTTCTGTTGTTTTTTTTCTATTTTCTTCTTACCCCTTCCACAACCCCTGAGTTTCCTATTAACGCTTAGGTTGAAACGAAAGTTTTTCTTCGGCTGGCCGATATTTGCATAAAATGTGCAACGGCTGCTGGCAGCTTGGGTTACTTTTATTTTTTTTAGTTTTGTTTTATTATTTATTTATGCAACCGCCTCGTTGGCTTTCCATGGGGCAGCACGACGTGCACGTTCTTTTTCGATTGCAGCTCGTTGTAATGGCATTTATTTGAGGCCCAGTCAAGTGTTTCGCACAAAAGTTGGCGGCAAATTAATGAAGTTCTACCATTTTACCACCCTGATTAAAACTTTGCACTTAACCCTGCAATTCTGCATGCATGGGAAAGCCGTGGGAAAAGTTCTCTTCCGACACATTTTACATTTCCTTCAGAGAGATCTCTTTAGTTTGGTTTGGTTTGGTTTGTTTTCCCCCAAAAGAAGCCTCTCCCATAGTTTCGTTTAGCTATTCCCAATCCCCTTTCGAATCGAAAGGGGTCCGCCCTCATCTGAGATTTGACCCAGTTATGGCCTGGCTGGGATCACGATTCAAAGTTTTATTTTCCCATTTTAATTGTAGTTGCTTTGGCTTTCTGCTTTGTGGTCATCATTTTTTCTTTATTGCCCTGGCTTTAAGCCGGCCAGATAAATAGCCAGAAGGCTGGTATATTCAAATTGCTATTGTTATGAATAAAATAAAATATTTGAAGAGAGTTTTTGTGTGGCTTTGTGCAAGACTGTCTTTTTTTCTTTCTTTTCGCTGGCGGGCCACCGAGATTGATAGAGATAAATACGGAAATGGAGTGGGGTATATTTGGAAAAAAAGATTTCATTTTATTCATTTCATTTAGAAGATTATTTTTCAGTTCGAAAAAAGGTTACTTTGTATGAAATTTACCAAAAGTTTTTCCCATCTGTAACCATTAATGTAAATTAATAAAAACAATGGTTTAGTAGAAGAAATTCTGGTTTTTAGTTACAAAATAAAATCCAATTATTTGCATTTTTAAAGTTTCCTTTATGAAGATCTAAAACTCTAAAAAAAAAGGCCAGCAATTTTATTTCCATTATTATTTATTTAAAATATTTAATTACCAAACAACTCCCAATCAAACAAGACAAAACTGCAGAATAATAGAGAGTATTCTTCATTTTCCACATACAATTAAATCATTTTTAAAAAAACCCAATTAAAAGACCAAATTCTGTGCCAATAAACTTAAATACATAAACGCTTAAACTGCCATTGTTCTGCACATTTTTTGTCCACCAATTTACCTTGAACAATTGCAGTTGTTTATGTTAAACTGGAAAATAAACAAAATTCGGCTCTCGGAGCTGAGAAAAGCAGAGGGAAAAGGTAAAAAAAGTAAAGAAAAAGCATCTGCAATGGCCCCGGCGAACTTGAAACTGGCAATTGGATCCGCTACAACAATGCCTCCAACCAGGTTGGCCCCAGTGCTTAATCAAGTGTGAAATCTTTAATCAAGTCGAGTTCCCCACGACTGAGTGAATTCCCAGCTGCCGTCCACCGATTCCAAATCCCAATCCCAATCCCGATCCCAGTACGAAATCACAGCTCCACTAACGGCTCCAAAAAGCCGATGCAACGCAGCTGTCCGATGGCTTTTCAGTTAGCCTACCTGGTTTGACCTTTTTTTTTTGTATTTTGGTTTTTTGTCTGCTGCTCAAGTTGTTTTTATTATTGGATACCCCTTTTGGAGTAGCCCTCCCACGCTCCCAAGCCTGTCAATTAAAAAGCCATTCGATGGCCCAGGCCCTGAACTGCACGACTCGTTTGCCAGCAGTTGGGCGATAAATTCAGGCGGGGTGAAAAACGAAAAAAACAACAGGAAAAACGCTTTTTAAGTTGTTTTATTTTCACTGGCCACTTTCGAGTGCGAAATTAAGTGAATTAGCTGGAACTGTAACGGTTACTGCAATGGCTAAATTATCGGCACCGATATTGGGTTAAGTGACGGCCTAGGAAAGTGGCTAAGGGAAAAGCTTTTCGCCGGAAATTAAAATATTTTCATGGCATTAACGAAACCGTTGGCAGGCTGTCAAAGAAAAAGTTGTCTCATGAATATGTAAGGGAAAAATTTGTTACTGTCTTTTTGATTTCTACCGAACTTTGCCAAAAACTTTTTGTAAAACTATGGAAAACTTTCTCATATACGTATAATTTTTTAATATTCTGCATAAACCAACTTATGTTTTGAAAACCAGTTGTAATTAAGTTAAAACAGATCTTTAACCTTTATACTATTTCTCTCTTAGTTTTTAAAAGCAAAGTAAGCAGCTTGACTGAAGGCATATTCTAGAAAAATCTTTAACTTTTGCACTTCATAAACCTTGAAAATCGAATGGTGGACTTGAGTAAGCCATGCATCCTTGATTCAAGTTGAAAATGCTCTGCGGTTGGCAGACTCTGGTGGACTCACTGAACCACAAAGGGCTTTCACTCTTTGGCAAGTGAATAAAGCTTATCCTAGTTTTCCTTTAAGAATGACTTCCAGGAAGCGCTGGCTCAGAGAATCAATTTTGCTTCTAGAAGTTTCCCACAACCACATCGTTATTCAAATCCGTAGCTTAAGAGATTACTCTAGCTAATAATCATTTTCATCCTTTCTCTTTGCAGTTAATGATACGACGGGAAAAGCTTCCAAGAAGTGGAGGTAAGTGGAAATATGGAAACGGGTTGCTCAACCCCAAGAAGAAAGCACGCACACTCTAGAGGGCCCACGGGACGCATCGGTATCAATCTTAATTTATAACAAATTTAATATGGTTGTTTCGCAGTCGAACACAGAATTCCCCTCGGAAAAGCTGGAAAAGCGCCTACACACATATGCTGAGTACAGCCATTTCGATTTTTGCCCTCTCCTCCGGCCTCGTCCTTGCCCTTTCCCCGAAAATTGGTGCAATGTGTGTTTTTGGCTCTGATGGGTTTTCGGTTACCATCCCAACCGATCCGTGCTGCATATTCCTACGGGCCTTGAATCCTTAAATCCTGTGCGTCAACGCCCGTAAATATGCCACAAAAAATATTGAAATGGGCGCAACGGAACGTGTACGGCAAAACACACTTAAGTGATTTTATGGCGCCATTCAAATGTTTTCCAAATCAGCCGAACGTGAACCGCTAAGGCTGAGGTTTTTCCTTGGGTTTCATAAATTTGCCTTTTTTTTTGCCAAACACCTTAAGGCGTTTTTTGCTTGCCTCATGTGAGCGCAAGTGGAAAACATTTACCAGCAACAAGTAGACAGAGGAATTTGCACAGGAGAAGGGATGGCAAACTTCCTGATTTCCTTATCTTTGAGCTCGCCTGTCGTCTGTTCTCGATTGGTTTTGGCCTTCCGATTGACTGACTGGGCGAGTGAATGAGTGAGCGATTGAAGGGAGTGACTGCCGCAGGCGGTTAAGGTCTTGCATATTTTACCAGGCCACATTAAAGCGAGTCCTTCGAGCCAACGATAAATTATTAAATGGATTCCATGCCCCTGACTTCCTGACGATTTTAAGTTGGATTCCCCGTTAGATGCCATTAAGCCCTGTGAATCCCTATTTTATTTGTTGGCCCATTCGATAATTGCTTTTCCCACATTCAAGCTGGCAAATAAAAAACTCTTTCTTCAGCGCCAGCAGATAATGTATTTCAAATTGTTTACCGAATACGCAATGTACAACTTGACAAAAGTTTGTGGCAAATATTTACCTTGCTCTCCTCCTCCTCCCTTCCTCCTCGTTCCAGCGCTAATGTATAAATAATTGCATGTCACTTGCTGACTGAGCAAACACACACTCGCACTCCATTGTTTGCCCCTGCGATTTGGCTCTGCGTCTCTGGGTTTTTCTTTGGTTTGGATTTGGATTTGGATTTGAACTGTTTTGTTTCAGTATATATACATATATATATATTCGAATATATGTCGCTTGACGGCCCAACACCTCGACATAATAGGTTAGGGAGCCGCTGAAGGTCCGTCATTACCATAATGCCAAATGGAAAGCCAAGTATGCACAGCATAATTACCAGCCCATCAAAAAATAAAACAAAAACCCCAAGGGTCGAATTTGAGATTAAATAATATGTACTGTTTATATGGTGCATCGGCAAATCTGATTTTAATATTATTTATGTCACAACTGGCCATCAAAAATGAAGCAGAAAATCAATGCAAGGCCTGCAAAGTGGCCCTCGGAAAGTTTGCAGGGATAAATGATTTGCTGGCGGAAAACTCTGGGGCAAAACATTTTCACAATTGACAGTCGTCGACAGCTTGTTGACAGTTGCGTCTTAAATAATGCAAACCATTTAAAAAGAATAAACCGATTGTATAAAAAATGCAAACACCACCGAACGGCAATCACCGTCGAGAGGCTTTATGAAAAATAAAAGTTGGTTACGGGCTAAATGGCCGCTGAGGTTGGGAAATGTATTGGCCAGAAGGCGGTTGGTGGCTTTTCGCCATTTTGCCCACTTATGATCGAACGTGATTGGTGACAAATTGCGTTTAATTGAGTAATTATTTGTTAACTTATGTGACGGGTTGGCTTAAGAGCTGATTATGAGTGTAAAGTTGCGCTTGTTAAATTACAAATTATAAAATTTTGTAATACAGTCCGACTATGTGGGTTAAATTCACTTTAAAATATTTAAATCGAATTTATTTAGTTATTTAGAGAACATTTTATCTTCCTATAAACGGATGACTTACAACTATATGTCTCTATCAACATCTTCATTAAGATTTAATATCAAAAATTTGGATTTATTCAGATTGCCCTAATGCTTGTTTATTACTTTGCTGTTAAAAAGATGAAAGCATATTGGCCATATCCGATATAAAAGCCGGCTCCTACTAACTTCAAGGTTACTTTTTTCCCTTGATTTGGACAACATTTTGTACTTAAATGTCTGTGGCCAGAAAGTCGCGCCGACATGTCTGCAAATGCGAGTTTGTTGCCCTTTGCGTGTCTGTTGTTGGCTTTGCGTCCCATAAATCACAAAATAAATTTTGCGCGTGCAAAATGTATATATAAACGGAAGCGAAACATTCGCCAAGTTGAATGCAATAAAAGTTTTTGATTTTTGGATCTTTATATATATTTTTATTTGCTTTCGCGCGGGTGAGCAAACTGAATCGCCCAAGCCCAAGCCCCAACGCAAATCCAATCTTCGAAAGGGAGGGAAAGAGACACAGGGCCGGAAACGGAAGTGCGTAATGCCATACGTGACCAGAACTCGACGAAAAACGACACTGGACTCTGCGGTTTGACCACGGCAAGGTGCAAACAATTTTTATGATTAATTACAGGGCCCCAGACCCAAAAACGAAAACAACCCATCATGAACATGGACACGAACATGCGTCAGTGGGTCTGTTCTTTTGTTGGCAAGTGAAACAATAGCCACATTTGCACTAAAAATAAAATCAGGCAGCCATAAAAATGCAATAAAGAAAAGGTTTTTCTTTTCGGCAGAAGAGTTTGTGTGTGGTTGTGGGGGGTCATTTACTTCGTCTGGCTGGGAATGTCGTAAATACTGATTATGATGATTAGGCGCCGCTTCAAGAATCTGTTTTTCTAGTATCATATGCAGAACCCATATCATTATCAAAGATTTTCTGAGACAGGAAGTGTCTTTCTAAGACGTGTTTACTGTTTTTTTGAGGGCCGGTAAATATTATTTAATGTTGCGAGGAGTCTTAATTACTTGAGTTAATAATTCTTACTACAAAGTCTTTAAACTTGCAGTGCCCAGTACTTCCTACTCATTTTCTTTGTAGTCGTTCATTACTTTCTATTTAATGAAGATTTACCGTGAAGAGTATTAGGAATCCCTTTTATGTAATCCCTTATTACCGTTTTGTTTCCCTTTGCGTTGTATATCGTACTCACTGGTCAATTTTGGTTTTGAGTTTTAATTAAAATTAATTAAAGCGGGAATGCTTTCAAAGAGCACCTCCGGAGAGCCCTGACAACGCCCAGTTAATTAGAAGTCATGCCTAAACTGACGTAATTGTTTTGGGGGAGGCGCTGCTGGGACCCCAACATCTGCATACCGACTAGTTCCAGCAAACATGATCCCCTCTGGATGTGGAATGAAGCATTGGAGCATTGAAGCATGGTGGCATAGCAGAATGGAGCCGTGGAGAGCAAATGTGAAAGCAGCTGTTGGCCAAATGTGCGAAAATTACGGGCAAATTGCTGGCGAAAATGACTCGACTAGACCACGGCCATGGTCGGGCTGATTTGCATAAGAGAGCTGGCGGCGGGCTCAGCTGCAGTTTCGCAATTATTCATCCAGCCAGCCAGTCCCTCATTCAGTCAGTTAGTCAGTCAGGCAGTCAGTCAGTCATGCTGTTATTCTGTCAGTAAGTCAGCAAGTCAATCGCAGATGCCGCAGCACATCGAGTATCATTTTCTCAGGTTCTACTTCTGCCCTGCAGCATCATCTGCATCCGCTTGGCTTTCCACTGGCGTCGAGTTCTTTCACCGGCTACCGACTGCAATTTGGATGCCCCATAACTGTACTCTACAAGATAATGCCGCAATTTCATTATTCAGATCGACAGGCCCACCTTGAGTCGACCCTTTGGGTTCTCCTCTCTCGCCTTTGCCCGAATTTAAATCCAAAGCCTTGCGGTTTATCTGGGCCAGCAGCTGCAGCATGGTCTAAAGGCATCCCGTCGGGTTCTCAATTACTTGTCTTGGTGCAAAATACCCTTGGAAGGGGCCCCAGCTGATAGACAGCTGGATAGTTGTCAAAGGGAAAGAGATTACAATATTGCTTTAAGAAAAATACCAATTTCATCATGTCGCCGGAGCTGTCCTCTTTCAGGAAGCTCAATCAGAGCCTCTTTGCTGGCATATTAAACTTCAGCTGAGAGTTAAGGCAGGAGGCAAACATTTACTTCAGAAAGGACATTTTGCCGTGGGCCTTTTTGAGAAAAAAAAAGTTTCCTTCATTACTTTCCCTGGAATGTAAGTTAAGGAAGTTTTTATATTAGGGAAAAACAACAAAAATTAAAAAGGAAAAAAGGTAGCAAAAAAAATTGTTACGAAAAATACGGATTTAACTGGGAAAAAACAATAAACAAGTTTACAATGTTATGAAAATATATTTGTTAAGCTGTCGTTAAACGATTCTTGTTAAATGGGGAAAGAACGAGTTTTGTTGGCTTTTTTATGGTTAAATGTATTACAGAGCTTAAATTATATCCAAACAAATTTAGTCAGTCAGTTTATTTCAGGACTATCAAAAAGTTTTTGGCATTAAACTTAACTTCTGTAATTTATAAACTATATTTTTACCTCTAAAACCTATATAAAAAAAGTTGAGAAAAAAATTGATAATTCTGATTGTTCCTTTTCATATAGAAACTTTTTATTTTCCTATTCCTAAATTTAGAGTTTTTAACTAAATGTTGAAAGAGCTAAGCCCAGTGGTTATTTAGACAGTGCTGGATATCCAGTTAGCCTGTCTCTTAGGTTGCATCCTCTTCTCTGAGTTTTTTAATTATCTCTGGCAGCGTGAAAACTTTTTCAAGTGTTTTCCTTTTCGCGCCCCCAGTCTTCCGGAGGGTTCCGGCAATTAACGCCACGTTTCGAGTGGCGAATGTTTTGTCCTGTTGCCGAAGCTTTGGGTTCGCGGCCTTGGCTCACTTATTA